AGAATCGTTATAATTTTAGAAAATTGTGTATAGATAAGTCGTGCTGAAGTCAATAAAAGTTTTTTGGCAAAATTCGTACTCACCGCTCTATTAGAGGCAGATAGTTTGATTGGTCAAATTCAATCTACTGTACTTCGTGTGTGTAAAACAGAAGTATTTTGAAAACATGGGTCATCTAGTTCAATTGTCACGACTTTAACTTCGCCTACTCAAATTTCGAAGTCTTACGGGTTTAAAACTGCTTTTGGTTTTACGTTTCTGGTTTCCTTGAAAGAGTTACATTCAAAGAGGCGTTTGCTATTACCGATGACTTGTTGAAAGCCGTGCAATGAGAAGTTTCATCTAACGGTGTACATGCTATACCACAGGTCCATCCCTCGGCGGACACGGTGTAGCAGTAAAAGTCGCCGCTGTCGCTTGCGTAATCGCGACAGATTTAGCCGCAGTCGGCCAAGTTCACAGAACACCGCTCGCTGTACACTGTGCAGTATAGTGTGTAGTGTACTCGCCAGTGATGACTCTGCAACTGCACGTTGTAGATACTGATGCTGTGTTTACGTACGGGGATTTAAATGTAGCTCGGGTGTTTTGACAGCGAACACCAGCTCACCTTGATGCTGAAGATTGCTGGAATACTGACACCAACGAAAACGATCTTGGTAGTAAAATGTTGGTAGCGGAGTAAATTATAGTGTTTGTCTAATAATCGATTGATAGCCGGTTAAAATAATTGTACAAGTAATTGTATTCTTGACATACAATTAAAACGCGATACACTCAAAATTTTGGATTGCCACTTAATTTGACATTTATAAAAATTAGGTTTTCTGGCGAGCTTACTGATGTAAAATATGACTTGCATATTAGTTTACCTTTTACATACAGCCACCACCTCTATAGCAGTCATTAATAATAATTTTATTTTCTCTATGATGTAAATTTATACTGAATCTGTATATTTTGAGTGTCTTGATCAACGAGATCTTCATACTTCTGGAAATGTATGTATTGTTTGCCAAATAAATTGTAACGTCAAACGAGAAATAAATTGAGTAAGATTGTTATTCGCGCCTTCAATTTCTATGAACGCAATATAAAGACTGTATCCGTTTTGCCTATCTCACCTGTAAAAACGTAAATTGAAGGGGTTATCTGCATTGGCGAGTTTCATTAAAATAATATGTAATTATTATTTAAATTTTTTTTTTCTGGACATGAAATTTATTAGTTTATATAAGATTGACGGAATTGTTCGTTACGTAAATTTTTGTTTTATTATTCATGAATCAATGGGAGGAAAACACTTCTCGCTCTAGATAAAGCTAGTGTCTTTGTTTACTAGCCTATAGTAATTCGTCAGCCACAGTATTATTGCCTTGACTTTTACTTTCATGATTAGATTAAATCATAAAGTTTTATTGAGTAGCTAAATAACATTTTCATTCACATAGTTAGTATAAAACGAATACAGACGTTTGTAACAAGAATTTAGAGTTATCTTCAAGAATTTAATCCATGAAAAGGTTTGTTTACTTCAAAACGAAAAAATCTTTACTCATTATCGATATAAAAATATCATTGAGTACCAAATATCGTGTCATATTGTATTTACAGACAACAGTCGACTCCCAGTTTGAGTTTGGGCGTCAACACCAAGAGTTTTTCACTTAATGAATATTTCTTGGTAAAAATGTAATTTACTCGAGAACTGTTCACCACCAGACACTTGCATGGAATTACTAACTGCGTCTTCTCCACTCTAACGATTGCAAAAAGCCACCAACGGTTGAGTAATTTAATGAGAAACTTTTACCCCATCTTTGTTGTCGTGGAAGTGCAACAGAAGTTGCATTCTTTAATTAAAATTAAAGTTTTTAAATTAAAAATCTTCAAACTTAAAGTCTCATTATTCACTGTCACTTTAAACGTACTCCACTTATTTGTTGATAAAGCGATTTCGAAATATAATTATGTTTCGGTTGGTTTATCGTCAAACAAAATCGTTATTGAAATTAATATTTCCCCCATTGAGAGAAATTTGTTGATAATGAAGTGAGCGTTCTATTTATAAACTGGATTGAATTGGCTTTATTCGCTTTTGTGGGTGTTCAACAGACTCGGATGTTAATTATTTACTTTGTTGGTGCTTAGAACTCGTTCTAAAATTGTCTGTTAAACGAGGGAGGAGTTGTAAAAGTTATAAATGTTAAATATTTTTTAATTTTTTCACGATTTTCTGTTAGTTAAATTTCTGTGTCATTTTTAGCTTACCACATAATGACAGCAACAACTTCATCTTCGAATCCAACATAATATTTTTACAGATTTTCGTGGCAGCCAATAAAAACAGAAAATATATTTTACTTTTATGTCTTGTCTAAAAATCTGCAAATCCCCTTTACTTTAAGACCACCGAACAAATATTGGGAATAAGCTACTAACTAAAAATTTTTGATATATCAATACAATTTAAGTACCTAATCATTATGAACAGTGAGAATGTAAAATGTAAAAAATGTCCATTAGACACAACCTTAATGGCGTAATTTTGTTGCAATTCGTCAATATGTTCCATTTGGTTATGATTATTACTCATACGAATGCTCTTTTTTGTGAAATAATTTTAATATTTTCTCACCTGTCCCAAAATAAATTACACCCAATCATCCTTAAACCATAAAATGTTAACTGACCATAGACAAGGAATATTTATCAAGTAAAGAAAGGACATTCTCAGAGAGGATGCAGAATCGAATCGCAGCCACATGCTCGGAGCGTTCCAAATTGGCGCGTTTTTGTTCTGCTGGAGTCTGGAACGAAAATAGCGCGGCAAAACTGACCCGAGCAACATTAGAAGGGTTAGGCTGAGAGGGGGAACCACCCTATTCCCGACCTACGGTACACTCAGCCCAATAGCCCAGTCGTTGTACGACCTACCGCACTCTGGCGAGGCCAACAGCTTCGGTTGTTTATTGGCCTTGAAGAGCGATTTTAATTTGATTTAGTTTGATAATTTTTTTATTCCTTTATGCAGTCTTAGAAATCAATGTATGTACATAGCAAGAAGTGTACAGTCTGCGTACAGAACTAGAAAATAAGCTCTGGTACGATTAAAGGAGTTGTATCTTTATATGGTAACCCATTTCTCCCGTTCATGAAGAAGATTAATATTTATGCCAGAAGTTTTGAAAGTTTATTTTTTTTTGTGATTTTGCTCACGTTAAAATTGGTATAAAAGCTCAGAGATTGAACAGATTTTTCTGAAATCCCGGATAATTATGACACGGTTACCAATGAATATCATATCAATTCCTCACTGTGAGATAGGTACATGAATTTTAAATAAAATAATAACTACGCGTGTCATTCTAAAGTTTGTGAACGAATTGTCCGATTTCATACTAATTATGGTCAGGGTTTAAGGTGTTCATCACGTAATTTACATAGATTTGGGAGGATATTGGTTATTATGATAACAATACAAACCCACGTGAATGTTTCCAATGTAATAATCATGAGTTATTGTCATAAGGTGTTAATGATTGTAGTTTTCTTATTAGGATTCATCCTACTCGATACAAAAGAATTTACCTCTGCGGCTAAAATCCACGGATTTAAAAAAATTTTATAATATATTACACGTTTGTATTACTGCATCGTGTGCATGTACTACTGTATACACAGGGGGAGGGTCATCTCACTGTGAACACACTATAGGACAGTCTAGACCGTAGATGCACATGCGGCCTTGGTGCAAAGGAAGTGCATAGTTGTTGCACTCTAGCGCCGGAACAGTGAAACACCCGTCCACATAGTTTACCACTCTGTGTCCACCACTTATGTCTAACATTAGCCCTCCACTTTTTCTCCCAAAACACTTCGTTATTTACACTGCAATTGTTTTTGTATACTTTTGTACTAGTAGGTTACGACTCAATAAACAATTTTTATTCTATTTTAAATCAGATTTGTCGGCTGAAAAAATAACTAACGATAAGTTTATGTTTTAGTAATGTCACATCCAACTTCATTACACATCAGTTAGGGGAGGTTTGTGAAAATAAAATATTTATACTAAAGAATATGTTTGATTGAATAATAACTACCACACACATACGAGCTGTGTTAACAGATAAAGTAATTATTTTAACTAAATTAAACCAGTGCGCACAAATGTCAACCAACATAGAAACAATGTTGTACATTGCCTCTGAACAATTCCACATGAAAATCATTTTAAACAAAACAGAGGTTGTGTTTGATACAAAGAAAGTTTGCAGGTTTATCGTACAGCTCCTGGCTGTATTTTGACTTTTGACATAAACCAGACAACAGACGTAAGACTGGGGATGAAATAATCGCGTTACAAGACTGGCATTACAGAAATTGCACCTCCGGGAGGATCTCTACGATTGTTTTTGTTAAATTGTTTGCTAAACTATTAGCTTTCCTCTGAAAACATATCAAAGCTAATTCAATACATTTGTAGTAATTTTTTAAAATATTTTATATGTTCCATGTTCGTAATTCGCAATTACTTTATTTGCAAAGTTACATAATTCTAGAATTTATTTTCTTGACTGTCTGGTTACATAGGATTTAGAGTACTAATAAACTATTGTAATATCCCTTGTTTGATAAATGTTTCAATATCAAACACCTAAAATTTTTGTTGTCAAGAAATATGACAAAATGTATATATAATCCAAATGAAATTAAAAAAAAAATACTATTTTAAAAGTACAAGCAAAAACTTTGTTACGGCGTGGGATAAAGCGTTACATTAGAAAGAGATCAATTCAAAAATACATGTTACAGAAAATAAATCTCTAAGGACACTGTGCTTAGGCATATTCTTCAAGAGAAGGCCGTGGTTTACAACATTTTAAATTCTAAACAATAATTTTAATCCATTTAAGTTATATTAGATGTACTTATTGATTAGCATTTCTTATGCTGTACACTGTACGTACACTAACTAACTTAAATTTGAATTTCAGATTACGCTGTTGACTCTGACGTAAAGGTAAGAATAAGATCTTTAGATTAAGATTAAAATTTACTCTTAAACTATTTACATGTCAACTAGCTTCAATGTACTTTAGATGTATGTTAATACAATTTTCATCCGCCACACTTAAATGTTAAGGTTATGGTCTCTGGCGAACATTAAAATAAACGTACATGCTACTTTACTACAAAGATAATTTCTTCTTTTGGGGGGTATTTCTTTTTCATTTTTTACTAGAACAAAGTTGGTGATGATGATTTTTTCTAATACTCAGAGAGCACATATATTTCTGTTAATCAACAATGAATTCCTATTTTTCTGTTTTAATGTTAAAACCGGTACTTGAGTCAGCAATACTTCATCGTTAATGACATAGAAGGTTTTGTCTAATTGTAATGTACACTTTGGTTGAGAGTGATTTGCTCAACGTCTTTAATAAATCGTTTAGGTTTGTTATTCGCACTCACTTTAAATATAAACTTGTCAGAACGTCCGCTGGGGAAAGGGTGAAAACGTGAGAAGGTTATTTAATATTACGCCGACGTACAGGGTGTGAAGCGAGGACGAGTTACAGTGGAGAATCACTGTTGAAAATACTTTTAATTTATTGTAGTAAGACCAGCTAGTTAGAACCATTTACCAACAATACAATAACAACACAAATTTCCATTACTACGGCTTGTCCCAGTTTTGTGAGGTAAAAAAGCTGCCGAGTTTGCTTGCAATTAATCTGTTGAACTGATTACTATAGGCGAGCACTATAACCACTGTCTGTATAGCTTCTGCCACGATTAAGTCTTGTTGTGTTTTACTTAATAACCATTTTTACCTAACTCTTGCAAACCTAAAGTGGTTAGAGTTTATAAAGTGTTTACAAGGAGAGAACTTTGTTATATTCTCCCAAGAATATCGTAATTCAAATTCGTAGTTTTCAGCTAATTAGAAGAACTATTATAAAACTTAACATGGTAATAATAATAAATGTATCGCAATTTTTGCCATCCTCTAAAGACCATTACTCTTGTTGATATTTATGGGGCGTTAATTTTTTTCTAGCCTGATGAATTAGATTTTTTCTTCTTATATATTTTTTTCCAAAGTCAATAATGATTTATGTAATCAAATACATCCAAATATTGAGATAAGTATCAATATTTAGTGTTAAGTTTCTTCTAAACCCTTATAATTATTCTGATATGTGTGTGTCCAGTGTGATTTAGTAGGTGTAACGTTAGTAACGTACTTTTATCATCCTATAACACGTCCCAAAAGTGTTATCCCCCTCAGCTAAAGTCTCGGGTAATATTATAACGTAAGATCAGATGCAGCGCATGTAGTCAGGTATACAATGGCGCGCTCTCTGGCGCAAGAAAACATACTAATTCAATATGGCGGCTACGTGTCAACGCGACGACGTGCTCTTAAGGCCTGTTCACACCGGCGTAGCAAGACGTCTGCAGACGTATTCGGTGTATTAATACGTCGCCAGTGCACTGTTCACACCGCAGCTTCGTTTGACGGCTACGTAGCCGGCGAGCCGGCTGTTGTTTGTTTATTTCATTATTTTATATTTGTTAGTTTATTGTTTATTTTTATTCGTAATTCATGAATTTCAGTTAAGATTGCCAAGGTTAAATTGCAGCTTTTATAGTACCCTGAATTGACAAAAATATTTCACTCTAATTTTAGGCCGTATATAGTTGGCTATAATATTTGCGCTATATTATAATATTAACAAATATTACCAGAAAACATGCAATAATTTTGCTCATCCATAAGGATTACATTATAAAATAGTCTATGGTGTAAGTAAGACCTATGTCTAGATATAATTAATTATAATATAATATATTATTATATGTATATTATATAATTAATTAATGTTTCATAAATGTCAGCCCACTATATGAACCATATTAAACCATGTTATAGATTAATGTGATTTAATAGTTTTAAGTGAACTTTTATGTTATAGTCCAACATTTACCACTAATAAATTAATTATGAGGTGTAGGGAGGGTGGCGGTGACAGCCCGGTGTGCTAGTGCGCATGCGCGTATTCGGCGATGCGAGCTACGCGTAGCTAGCCGGCGTAGCGGCAGCGCCGTAGCTTCCGTAGCTCACGTATTAATACGCCGGTGTGAACAACCTCTATGAATTACATTTAGAGCTACGTCAGCTACGTATTTCGAAAAAGTATTAAGGCCTGTTCACACCGGCGTAGCCCGACGTCTGCAGACGTATTCGGTGTATTAATACGTCGCCCATGCACTGTTCACACCGCAGCTACGGCTGACGGCTACGTAGCCGTTGAGCGGGCTGTTGTTTGTTTATTTTATTATATTATTTTATATTTGGTAATTTTATTGTTTATTTTTATTAGCGTTTTATGGATTTCAGTTAAGATTGTCACGGTTCAATTGCAGCTTGTATAGTACCCTGAAAAGTCTGTTGATTAATTAGTTAATGTCGACAAAAATGTTTCACTCTAATTTTAGGCCGTATATAGTAGACTATAAGACTTGTGCTATATTATAATATAAAATAAATATTATCAGAAAACATGCAATAATTTTGCTCATCCATGGATTACATGATAAAATATTCTATGGTGTAAGTAAGACGTAGGCCTATGACTAAAAATAATTCATTAATGTTTCATAAATATCAGCCCACAATATGAACCATAATAGACCATATTAAGAGAGACGACTTTTTTGATAAGGAGATTTACAAGCAAAATATTAGTGAACATTAGGTACTCGTATGATGAAGTATTATTATATTGATCATATAAAGTTTTCTTAAGGTTGTTATGTTATAGTGATTTAATGATTTTTTTAAGTGATTCTTAATTTTTGTGTAATAATCCAACATTTACCGCTTAATAAATTAATTATAAGGTGGAGGGAGGGTGGCGGCGGTGACAGCCCGGTGTGCTAGTGCGCATGCGCGTATTCGGCTATGCGAGCTACGCGTAGCTAGCCGGCGTAGCGGCAGCGCCGTAGCTTCCGTAGCTCACGTATTAATACGCCGGTGTGAACACTCTCTATGAATTACATTAGGAGCTACGTCAGCTACGTATTCCGAAAAAGTATTAATACGTCTGGCTACGCCGGTGTGAACAGTCCTTTAATACGTCTGGCTACGCCGGTGTGAACAGTCCTTTAGCATTTACAATACAACGCAGTCTGCAATATTACTTACACGTAATTCCCCGTAGTCATGCTATACCTCACTCTCAAAAGAATATTACTTTTCAATTTTATTATTTTTCTCTCTCCGCGATTTTTTTTTAGTGTTTTCCCAACAAAGTGCTGTAATAACATGTAGCTCCATGCGGTCATTTTTCGAAAATCCTACTTTTCTTAAATAAGAAGTACCTAGTTTTAATTTCTCCATAGTTAATACTGTTTGGAGTCTTAAACGTTTTTGTGTAGTATGGAAAACGTGCCATTGATTTCTAAAAATTATTTACTTAAGAGTGCTACCCATAGAGTGTAAAATTATTTTTTTCAAATTAGGTCATTTTTTAATTTGGCTCTTTGACCAATAACTCGATATTATGAATTTATTTTTGTAAGTGTTGCCTTGACTCTTATAGACAAAAAACTAATCTGTGCTAAGCCAACGGCCGCAGAACACCGAGGTTAGTGTTACAAAGAGTGATGGACCTCTTTTTAAATAGTCCCAAATTTAGTATGACCCAAGCTGCAGAATAAAGACCCAAGCTCAGAAACGATGTCAGTATTCCGTCCCATAATCCCAAACAGGGTCTAATCCAGGAAAGATCGCGTTGATTCCCTACTGTGCAAATCCAGGACGATTCCTTTAGTTTACATAGACAATCCATCACTTGTTTGATAAATAAATTATATGTATACAACTTTTTAATAAGCAACATAAAAATTTATGTTTTAATTTAACAAATACGTCAGACTGTTTATCAATTTTGACTTCATGATCATCTTAATGCAAGTATTGTAGCTTTGTATTATCATTACTTTTATTCTAATACTAGCTGGCCCGACAGATGTCGTCCTGTCCTATTGTGGTTTTATGTCACATGCTCGTTCATTTTCAAGATGAGCTCGTTCGCATGGCTCAATCACGTCCTGGTTGAAGTTCGTTCGCTACGCTCACTCACCTTTAGGTTGGAGCTCGTTCGCTGCGCTCACTTGCCTTCAGGTTAGCTCGTTCGCTACGCTAACTCGCCTCCCGGTTGAAGTTCGTTCGCTACGCTCACTCACCTTTTGGTTGCAAATTAGCTGTTCTCATAAATTAAAAATAAATATATTGCTGCACCCTGTTGGTAAACCTATTAACTTTTTTATGCTATTGAACATCACAGAATCAAATTGTTTAGTTGCACCAGCTGTTAAGATTCTTTAATTCCATTTAAATATGAGTAGGCCCTACTCATAAGGTTAACATGGGAAACTCCAGAGTCACTGGGGCGGTGCCCTATTGACGGATCTGTACCAAACTTCACACAAACCATCCTTGAATAATGCTTAATAATGCCTGAAAGTTTCATTACAATCTGTCGAGCGGTTTTGGAGTCCATAAAGAACAAACATACAAATATACAAACATACATTGGATTTTATATATATAGATGTTGTTATGAAATTTATGTATTTTTCAAAAATCAAGCTTTTTATCTCTATCTTGATTCTCTTTTGTAATTATATTTGCCACATCAAAAAAAAAAAAAAAACAAAAAAACAGCTAATGAGTAATCATTTTATTTTTTATCCTTAATAAAATATTATTTTCAATAAACCAAATCGCCTACTATAGAAATTTGTAGAGTTTGCGAGTTACACACACGAACAAATAACGTTTCATTGGAAAAGTATGATCATCCAATCGAGAAAACGATTCATAAGATGAAACACAAAAATACGACTCCCTGTTGTGCGATATAAATATAATTTAATTCAATCTGTTGGCCAACGTACGTGTTCAGTATTTATGTTTGATTCCTGCAGAAGGTTGCCACAACTGTTGTG